TTGCTACAGATACATTAAATTTGACGTCATCGATGACATTGTTTGACGTGACAACACTTTGGTAATTGATTTTAATAATACTTATTCAAATCAATAACATAATTTTTCACACATCACAAAACGTCATCTATAATGTCATTCAGAAATGTACAATTAGTATAATTCTTTTAAAGTATATAAGTTTCAGGTTTACAATTACGCATATGTGCAAACTCTTGGGTGTCAACTTTATGTTGAAAAATGTTATGATACTAATTGAACTCCCGGAGAAGAAGACGAGAAAAACTTGAGCGATAACTTATCGACGTAGGTTTGATAGTTAAGTTCTTTCCCGCGTTTACATAATCTTTGTTTGCCTGTATTCAAGTGTCCTTTCACTTTGTGTGTCTCGTTTGGTCGAAAAGAGCATTGAAAATAATTCGTGTAACTAATCCAAAATTTATTGAAAAACTCATTCCTCACCCTCTTCGCTTAAAATTATTTCTTTACTAGAATTCAAGATTGAAGGCGGACTTATTGGCTAATATATCGAAATCTAATGCCACCAAAATTGAATAAAGACTTTAAAGAGCCAGCACTTTAAAATATTCCTTATAACGACTTGGAGATTATTATAATATCTCTCGTGCTAACGTGGATTGAACAGAATAGATTGCCACTTAAATTAAAATAGATCACGTTTACCAAAGTTTATGTTCAATGCAATATGTTTAGGACTATGTATAGTTGACATGTTCGTTCCGCTCAATTTAGACATCAATATACGTAGATCGAAAGTGTTTCTGATTAAATATCACCTAAATTGCAATTCATGGAATTCAATAGGGATTCTTTTATTGTTTTTATAGAGTTTAGTAATTGATTTGGACTAATAACGTTGGAAATTAAGCATGTTTGTTATGTAATCAAACTTGGACCGTTTACTACGTTAAAATGAGAATGACCACATATCAATGCAATAAAAAATATATTATTACCCTTTTGGGGTGGTCGAGTTGGTGGAGTAAGTGAATGAGGAGATCAAAGATCACGAGTTTAAATCTCATGTCAACACTTCCTCGGTCGAGACCGTTGCATCAGGCTTGCTTAGTGCGGTTTACTTCTCTTGTGTAGTTCGCGAGCTACTGCACATGGAGCGGGGTTTACCTAGTGTGCGCTCACAGTGGTCGAGGCTCCGCGGCCAGGTAATGGCTGCGGGTTTCTATGTAAAAAAAATAAAAAAAATATATATAGAGGAAATCCACAACTTTTTATCATTTTAATCACATATTTTTCTTTTATAAAATAATCTATTTTCACCTGAAAAAAATATGTGCCAAACAAGTTCAAGTAAATTGTAAAATTAATTCTTCTATTGATTGAAGAGTTCACCTACAATTAAAATGTAGCGTATGAAATACAAATGTGGTGATATAACCACAATTTATTAATATATAGAGTTTAATGTTATTATTAATTTTTTTTTTTTGGTTACAGAATTGATGCATGATCCAATGTACGTAAATTTAACCAACTAAATATGCCCTTTATCTAATCAATTAAATGAAATATTAATCAAAATATAACTTCATTTACCTCATTTATAAAATATTAAAAAAATAACTTAAAACTAAGCCACGTTTGATGGACATGATTATGAAAAATAGAGTTTTGACTATTAATTTTTTTTAAAAATGTGTGATTAAAAAATAAGGAAACATTTTCAATTTATGTGTAAAATATTTTATTGTATAAGTATATAGTTAAAAATGAGTAGGAGAATTAACATTGTAAATATTAGGTCTAACTTTTACTGTTTTAAACCTATCCCTTGTTTGAAGCGTATTATTTTTTTGGACCCTGGCAGTGCAAATGTGAAGTGAGGTGAGGTGAGGTGAGGTGAGGTGTCCACCCCCTCCCACAAATTTGTAAACCCCCGTAAAAAAGTTACTCCACCCAGGAGCCCTAGCCCTGGGTGGAGTACACTCTCGAAAACGAGATAGTCTCGGAAAATGTCCGGACCATCTCGTGGTTAATCCTATTTTTTTCATTCACATTCTTCTACTCATTTTCAACCACATATTCGTCGATAAAATAATATTTTACATCACATCAATAACTTTTTCTTTTTCTTCTTTAACTACATATTCTTCATCAAATTATTTTTAAAAAATGCATTCTTTCGTTTTAATGTGCATCAAACGGGCTCCTAGTCTTTAATTACAGTGTTCACGCGAAAGACGCGCGTGGAGAATACAGTTTCAGGGTAGGTGAACACAGCTAGCACGCTTTTCAATGACCACAAATTGGTCATAAAAAAAATAGTGTAAATTGTGCAA